GCACTCTGGAGTAATTTGCTACTCTGTTGTTCTGCTCCTGAAGAACTGGGCACCAGGCCAGAGGCCAGGGTCTTTAAGACAGCATCCTCCTCTGTCTACTGGGGGCAATATCAGTCATTTATTTTCAGAGATGAGAAATGCTGAAGAGATGTCATGAGAGGTCACTAAATTCCACAAGGCTATACCATCCTGAAGGCCAAACAGGGTTAAGGGGAACAGGGACCCACCTTCAACTCATAGAAAGAAATACTTTGGGGCATACAATCCCTTTAACAGTCACCTTTTATGAGGATAAGAGATTTATTAGTAAGTGAAAGATAAAGTAGCAAAACAGTTGGTATTTGTGTCCCACATAATAAAAAGTATGAATGGAAATATTAGTATCTGTGTTGGAAAACTATCAGGGCTGTCTGGGAACAGGAGTTACAACAAAGGATTAAAACACTGGATTTCTGAGGTATAGGGGAGATTAATGAGGGCTTCCACATCATATGCTTCTGAATATGTGGCCTGAACTGTCTATGAGGAAATTCTGTACTTAATTTACATGATCTGAGTTATCTATAAGAAATATGCATTCATAAATCCCAAAACAGCCAGACACGGTGGCATATAGCTGCAATCCCAGCAACTTGGGAGGTTGAAGCAGGAGGATCACAAGTTCCAGGTCAGCCCCAGCAACTTAGGCAAGGCTCAGCAACTGAAGGAGACCATGTCTTAAAATTTAAAAAAATCTAAAAACAAATAAATAAATAAGGGCTGGGGAACTTAACTCAGTGACAAAGTGACCCTGGTTTAATCCCCAGTACCAAAACAAACAAACAAACAAAAAAAAGAAAGAAAAGAAAAGAAAGAACCTCGTTTAATCCCCAGTACCAAAACAAACAAACAAAAAAGAAAGAAAGAAAAGAAAAGAAAGAAAGAAAAGGGAAAAAATAACAAAGAGATTTTTAAACAAGAGTCTCAGTTCACATCACATGTTCACATTCAACACAGTCCGTTTGAGCAACACTCACTGCATCTAATGATGGGCCAGGCCTAAGGCTGTGCAGAGACAGCTGCTGTGTAGGGGCTGAACACAGGATGTGGAAGCAGAGAGATGACCTGTATGTGGCCTTCAGAAAATCACCTAATCTCCTCTTTTTAAAACCAAGATGTGACGGCAATTGTAAAATTCAAATGATGGAACAGATATGGAGTTTCTGGACATGTGTATATCACTGGGTAGCATCTCACACAAGCCCTGACAGCCCCATGAAATCTGTAGCTCCATTTTACAGAGGAAGAAACAGAGGCTTGGACAGGTGGACAGGAAAGCCCAGATCACATTGACAGTAGGTTTTAGAGACTGGATGAAATTCTGTGTGACTCCCAGGTCAGAATATCTCCATCCAGTGCTGTCTGCCCTATCATTGCTCAGCCCCTCTTTTTTCAGATGGGAAGTGGGAAGGGTCAGTCTAGCACACCTGAGAATTATCTACATGGTGCATGCAATTATTGTCTCTCCTACTAGAAGGTCAGCATCATTGTTTGGATTCTGTTCACTGTTATACCCCTAGCAATTAGAACGGGGCCTGACATTTCATAGGTACTAATAACTCTATGTCAAATGAATGGGAAAATGAAAGAATTCCCTAATAAAGGATGAAAGGAAGAGACCTGAAACCCATGAGGAGAAGCATCATCCTTCAAGGTCGAAGGACTGCAAGAGTAGAGCAGGACATGCCCAGGTCCCTAATTTTCACTTAGTCCTGGTTCTGCCAAATCCAACAGCCTCAGTTCATCACCCCCGCCCCGTCCCTGGCTGCTGGGACCAAAGGAATAAGTTAGTCTGGTTCAGGAAAGGGTCAGGGCAAAAGCACAGATGGCACCATCGAACCTGCCTAGACTGCTGCCTGTTAGTGCTGTTTGTTCCTCAGTTTCACAGGCACCTGCCTCTCCACTGACACAGGGTGGGGAAGGATTCAAGAAGAATGTGCAGAGTTGGTCCTTCCTCTCTCCTTCCCTCCCTCCTCCTTCAGGAGAGGCCAGGCAGACCTGAGGGGCACAGAAGTAGGATGGAGCTATGAGAAGGTTCCTCTGACACAGAGCCGAGGATCAGGGATGGGAGGCATCTCATTAATCCAACATCACCCCTGCAGACTGGATGAGATGCAAAGGTACAGATAATGGATGCAGACATGCAGGAAGTAAGTGGAGGCCAGGTGGTGGTACAAGAACCTCAGGGCTGTGCCTTGCCTGAGCATAGGGCGACCAGGGACAGGATCCCTCTGCTCCACACAGTAATAGTCCCATTTCTTCATCCTGATCCAGAGGAGCTAAGGGTCTACAGGCTGAGCTGGACAGACAAGTGGGGCCAGGGCCGCCAGCTCTGACCACAGCCCTGACTCCCAATGCAGGTCCTGGAAATCATGTGGGGCTTCCCAAGTTACTTGCTCCCCAAGGGGCCTGAGCTTTGGCAGGAGGCCCTCATAAGACCTCAGCTCTGTGTCCCACAGACTACCATCAACAGTCAGGGACCTGGAGGGACAGGCCTCACTTCCTGGGGACTGATGAAGCTGACAGGAGAGGTGGAACAAGGTGGGAGCTGGGTCAGCACTATAGCAACTCTGCTATTAGACCCCACAGTAGTTCTGGGGCCCAATCTTTGGGGTTAGGCCTGGGCCTCTAACACGGAAGAGATCCTGGTTCATGTCTAATCCCCACCTACACCCTTGGTAATTACCAGTTAAAACTACTCTGGCTGAGAGAGTTCTAGAGTGCAGTGAGTGCATCAAAATAAAGAAGGCTGTTCTGAGGGTGCCGCCCACAGCCAGGGCTGCACAAAGACCTGCTTGTTAATCCCACAGCCTCAGAGGCCCAGATCCCAATGAGACATGCAGAGAAGATGGAGGAAGAAGATGGGATTTGGAATCCACAGCCATGGACAGCATCCTGAACTCTCTGTGTGGCCCTGGGCTGGCTATTTAACCTCTCTGAATCCAGAAAATGGGGCTGGCAGAATAGTCTCACATGTTGTTGTCTGGACTAAATGAGGAATTGAAGGCTGTGAAAGTTCAAATGGTCATTTTTCTTCTAATCACAGATATAAACATCTTTTGGTTGCCTTTCAGAATCCATTTCTGGTTTCCTTGTGTTCAAGACACATGGAGATGATCCTGTCACATCCACACAAAGGCTAGGTCACAGCTGGAAGGGACCAAGGTCAGCAATGGTTAGGCCCAGGTTTACCCTCCAAGGGGTATGTCAACCAATCACATAACTACCCTGAGGACAGGCTGCTAAGATCTGAGACTCAAAGCGGGCAAGAGACTTTCCCAAGGTCAGTCACAGAGGGGTGGGCCCCACTTCATTTACAGCAACTGCTCCCATCAGAGCTGTGAGTGTCTTGATCCAGGGGATGCTGGGGAAAGCAGGACATGGGCTGTACAGTGACTCATTCTGATGGGCGGCTCCCCTAGGGATGTTCTTAGGCAATTCCATCCACAGCTCTTCTTGGTTCTGAGCTCCAGGTCAGCCTGTCCTGAAGATGGAACTCCAGTCCCAGTTCCACATATGGCCTCCTCTGTCCCACCTCCCCGCCCTCTAAGCAGGAAGGTGGCATCTGTTCCATAGGCCAGAATCCTATGCCTGGCCCTGGGCTCCCAGTGCTGGTTTACAGCTATCTCCTGCTGTTTGCTCCCCACCTCAGCCTACCACCAGCTCTGAATGGGGGGAGCAGAGGCTGGGCTATTTCTTCTTTCTGCCTTTATGTAGGAAACAAATGGCTGAGGACCCCACAAATCCTGCTGCTGCCAGGTTCCCTGTGTTCCTCTCCCTAAGCCCCTCAGAAAGTTCTCTCCACTCTAAAAACCTAATGTAACTATAGAAGTCACCTCCCTGAGCACTGGATAGAGAACCTGACAATCTAGGCCTGTCTTGGCTGGGCCACACAGAAGCCATCTATCCTAGGGGTACCTTTGCCTCTTTGGGCCCCTCTGTCCTCACCTGGGTGGTGGGGATGGAGACCATGGCTGTTCACAGGACTGCTGGGAGGAGTGACGCTCTGTGTGGAGGGGGCTGGCAGCCATGGCAAGGGTCCTGTCCCTTGATGTCACCCCATCACATGGTCCCCAGACCCAGCCTCCTGCCTGTTACAGCCCAAGCCCCTGCCTGTCACTATCTACAGAAGGGAGGCAAAGTGGTTGGAGGATATGACCAACAGTAAATATTCATGACTCTGCATTCAAGAGTAGTAGTGAAAGTGTCTTTGAGATCTTTGGGAGAACTCAGACTCAGTTTAGAGAAATTTCTACAGACAGAAAGAGCCAAGCTTTTTCTGGGAGAGAGAAGAGGATCTAAGCTGTCCCTTGGGTCATTCACAGGCCTGGACACTCACTCCCTGCCAGGCCACAGCCCAGGTGCAGGAAGCTGTCTGTCCACTCCTTCCCCAGCCCCTCCCTGACAGCACACTCCACCCGCAGGCTCAGTGCTGCACAGGGAAGAATCTGCTATGTGAGGACTCAGGCTTATGGGTCAGCTCTGGTCACTTTGATGATGACCACAGGCTTTCACGCTGAACTTTGTCCCTCTCCTCAGTACTGCCCTTATCATACTGATAGCATCACAGGCTCTGTTTACTCACCAGTCTTCTCAGGACCCAACTGTCTTCCTGGTGCCACCCAGGTGGGTCCCAACATCACTGGATTCCTAAGCCTGGGTGTGTGGTTGGAGACCGGGTGAATGTATCCCCTGGAAGTTCACATCCTGCCTGCCTGTCCACCTCACAGCTCAGGGAACCTGGGCCACTTCTTAGACCTTCCATTTCCTGACCACTAGTCTTCCCCCTGACCTCCACAGGTCCTGTCACAGATCCCTGACTACCTGCCCAGGGCAGGTTTTGTCACTTTTGTCCAAGGATGCGCAAATTCCCCTGGAGCCCAATTCACTCCCAGGAGTGCCAGCCTGAGGCCGCCACACCCCGGGTCCTTGACGCCATCCTGGGGCCCCCTGCAACTCACCCATGTTGACAAAGCTCATGACCAGGTCGGTGCGACCCAGGTGTCGCTCCGGGGACCCACCATCCTCATCGTCGTCGCCAGCCATGGAGTGATAGAGGTCCAGCATGAAAAGCGGGGCAGATGCGGGCACCCGGGCAGCAGCAGGTGGCGCACGGGGCCTGGGTGGCCCGGGCAAACCGAGCACCGCCAGAATCTCACGCTGCATGTCGCGGTGTTCTCGATTGCCCAGCCGTCGCTGGGGACAGCTGTGCAGGGGGCGCGGACCAGGGCTGCCTCCCAGCGCGCACAGCGCCAGGCCCAAGAGCCAGAGCTGTGCGGGGCGCCAGGCCATGGCAGGCCGGTCCGGGGTACTCAGCCCGCGCGCATCTGCTCCGTAGCCCGGCCAGGGAACGCCCCGACGGCGAGCAGCAGACTGAGCTTTTGAGGTCCTGGAGACACAGCGGGCGTCTCCCGGGGTCACAGGGAATCCCCAGAACCCCCTACGCGCGGCACCTGTCTGGGCTCGGGGATGTGGGGAAGCGGCCGCCGCAGCCACAGGGCATAGGCTACAGCAGAGACTGGGACTAATCAGTCTGTTGCCGTCGGTCGATCCCGCCAGCTGAGGACGCAGCGGGCAGGGACAGCGGGCGAGCTCTGTGGCGATCCCGGCAGCGCAGACCTGAGGGTTACCTCCTAGCTGCCGGACCGTCGGTGCAGCTCTTCAGCCCCGCCTCCTCCCCGAGATAGACCAATGGGACACAGGGGCGGGGACCAGGCGCAGAACCTAAGCCCTGGAAGAGTCTGGGTTGCTGCTGGAGTTGCGGGTGGTAGCAACTCGAGGTGCAGCCCTGTGTTTGCGGGTGGGTGGGCTGTCGAGAGTTTCATAGGTAGGCCTGGCGTCAGCGTCATCGGGATGGTCCTGGGTTCCCCACCCACCTGAATGCGAGCAATGCAGGGCCTCGTTTCGGAAGAACCCTGGGTCTGGGCACAGTCTCGGAAAAGCAGGCACCTGGCGCTCCGCAGGGCGTGTCCTCCAGCGCCCAGCGGGGCGGAGATCCCAAGTCCTGGTCCAGCCAGCCGTGAGACCCGCAGCCGCACTTTAGTGCTCGGGAGACGTTAACGGGCCTTACTCTCACTTTCAGGTGCCATCTGGAGGAGCTGCGCAACTACACCCCGAAGGAGGGGCACGTTCCTCTGCCAGCAGCAGCCGGGCGCAGGGTCCCAGCCACCGCAGTTCTTCGCCGCCTCCGGGCGCCTTCCGGGAGGTCCACTTGCTTGCACTGCTGTGGACGTCTCCTGCTCCTACACCTGCTCAGCCACTTTTCCCGTCCTTCCCCTGGCTAGCAATAGTGATGCTGTGAGCCCTGCGAACTTAGCTGCGAGCTTCAGTTGAGCACCAGTTTCCGTCTCCAGCCCCGTCTTTGGGACACTCCTAAGCCACTGCGAGCCACTTTTGTGCACCTTTTCAATTGTCACGGCCCCCAGGGGCTTTCCTTCCGGAAACGCCCGAATTGACCCAGCCGCTTTCTGCACACTTGACCTTCCCTAAAGGCTCCCTCACCGCATTGATTCGAGGATGATTGAGGGGAGGAAGTGGCACCCAGACTGAGATAGGAGGGCTGAACGGAACTGGCCCCTGAAGAACAGGAAAGTTCGGGGAGGAAAGTGCTCCAACAGAGAAATAGCTGTGTTAAGACCTGGAGTTGGAGTGAGCATCATAATGGCAGCTCACAGCTGGGAGCGGTGTTGCAGCCTGTAATCCCAGCGACTCTGGAAGCTGATGCTGGAGGATCAAGTTCCGGGCCAGCCTCAACAATTTAGCGATACCCTGTCTCAAAAATAAATAAATAAATAAAACCAAAAACTAAAAAGGACCAGGGATGTAATTCAGTAATAAGTGTTCCTGGATTTAATCCCCAGTACACAAAATAAGGACGATGGTGAATATGATGATGAAGATGGCAGTGGCTGGTGACAGCACTTGGAACATGCCAGGCATGTGTGTCCCGAACCAATTATACAATTTTCACATGTTATGGGGAACAACCTCTTTATAACAGACAAGGAAACGCACACAGAGGTTAAGGAACTTTTCCCAGGGCACACGACAGTGGAGCTGGGTTGGAGCAGGTAGGCATCTGTGAGTTAGTTGTTCAGTGGATCTCTGAGAGTTCAAGAGTTGAGAGCAAATTGCTGAGCCAGAAGGGCTACCAAGGAATGAACCACAGCCTGGCAGGGGGCTACATGAGAGCCTTGGGCACCTAGCAGTTACAGTGTCTTCCAAGTAGATTCAGGATTAAATGTCCACCCAGGCATGGTGGTGCTCACCTGCAATCCCAGCCACTTGGGAGACTGAGACAGGAGAATCGAAAGTTTGAGAGACGCCTCAGCAACTTCTAAAGACCTTATCTCAAATAAAAAAAGATCTGGGGGTATAGCTCAGTGGTAGAGCACCTCTGGGTACAATCCCCACTAACACACACACACACACAAACAAACAAAAAGACACAGATTAAATCTCCAAATAAGGGTATGCTGCCCTCTCAAACCACATTTTGATGTGATCACTTCAAAATATCAAACACAAGGAGATTCTTTTTTTTTTWAATTTTTTTTTAATATTTATTTTTCAGTTCTCGGCGGACACATCTTTGTTTGTATGCGGTGCTGAGGATCGAACCCGGGCTGCACGCATACCAGGCGTGCACGCTACCACTTGAGCCACATCCCCAGCCCCAACAAGGAGATTCTTAATTTAATAATTTGCTGATGCCTTAAATACATGCCTAGCCCTTTACCCAATCCACAGCTACAAGACCCATAAAGAAACTGAACTTTAACCTATGGATAATGCACATAGCTGTGGAAACTGCCTGATGTGAGGCCAGAGCTAGGATGCAGAGAGGAATGCGGATTGCTGGGAGGGAGACTGGAGTCAGGGTCTGAAGTTGAAGGCAGATACAGTAATGGGGGAGAGAAGGGATTGGCAATGAGCCTTTAATGATGATGGGATGGAGAGGCAGAGGAAAGTGTTGTTTAGGAGGCTGAATCCACAGAGTTTAGGGACATAGGGAGAGGGCAGGGTCAAGGGATTGTCCAGGTCAGGGGCTGAGTCTCCTGCCCACAGCCCCTTCACTGTCCTCTTTGCACCTTGTGCATCCCCCTACACTCCCCTGAATCCACACCACAGCATTCAGAGCCTTCAGTCTAACTGGTAATTCCGGGATTAAGTTTTGTGCAATGCTGGGCTCCTGGTTAGAATGCAAGCAGCCCAATATTGAGCTGATTCTTAGGGCAGAAACTATGTGTCTCAATTTAGGATGAGTGGAGATAGCTGTGCACTCTCAACAACAACTTCACATTTCTATAAACCTAAACAGCAGGTTTAGGTTTTAGCCACACAAAATAACTTGGCCCACAGTTTAATTCAATAACACCTAAGGCAGGCTGCCCTGCGCTGGGCTGTGAACCAGAGAGGTAGCAGACAAGACCCTGCTCTTGACCCATTCCTACACTGACAAGAGCGACCATTGGTGAATTTTGTCATTTTCCAAGGCAGAATGAAACATGTGCTCCCAGAGGAGCAAAGTCCCTGGAAGGGCAGAATAGGAGGAGTTGGAAAGTGGGGGCTCCTCAATGTGAGTGGAACCCCAGAACAGCAGACCTGGTAGGGAGCTGAGGTGAGGAGAGTTTCCTAGAGAAAGTAGTGTCAAAACAAGGGCTTTCCTCAGCCTCCTGGTGGCTATGACCTTGGCAAGTTACTTAAACTATCTCAGGCTGTTTTCCATCCACAAAAGGGGACGTGAGAACAGAGGATTGCGAAGGGTGTTAAATGAGAATATATGCAGTGCTTGGCACAATCACTGTCTTAAAGCAAGTACTTAATAAACATCAGCTATTGTTATTATTAAAATATTATCACACCATTCAAAGCACTAAAAAAACCTTTTCCTGATTACAAAGATAATTTATAGTAGAAATTTTGGGAGTGGGTACTGGGAATTGAAACCAGGGCCTCACTTATGCATAACATGAATTATTGTGGAAATTTTTGAAAATGTAAACAAAAAATGACCATCTCAAAAGGTTTTTAAAAAGTCACCAAAGTGGGCTGGGGATGTGGCTCAAGTGGTAGCGCGCTCGCCTGGTATGCGTGCGACCCGGGTTCGATCCTCAGCACCACATACCAACAAAGATGTGTCCGCCGAGAACTGAAAAATAAATATTAAAAATTCTCT